AGATATACAGTGTTCCAGAAATACACTGAGCTTGTCACTATTCAGATATAAAGTGTTCCAGAAATACACTGAGCGTGTCACTATTCAGATATAAAGTGTTCCAGAAATACACTGAGCGTGTCACTATTCAGATATAGTGTGTTCCAGAAATACACTGAGCGTGTCGCTATTCGGATATACAGTGTTCCAGAAATACACTGAGCGTGTCGCTATTCAGATATACAGCGCCCCAGAAATACACTGAGCGTGTCACTATTCAGAAATACAGTGTTCCAGAAATACACTGAGCGTGTCACTATTCAGATAAACAGCGCTCCAGAAATACACTGAGCGTGTCACTATTTAGATATACAGTGTTCCAGAAATACACTGAGCGTGTCACTGTTCAGATATGAAGTGTTCCAGAAATACACTGAGCGTGTCACTATTCAGATATACAGTGTTCCAGAAATACACTGAGCGTGTCACTATTCAGATATAAAGTGTTCCAGAATTACACTGAGCGTGTCACTATTCAGATATAGTGTGTTCCAGAAATACACTGAGCGTGTCGCTATTCAGATATACAGTGTTCCAGAAATACACTCAGCGTGTCACTATTTAGATAGACAGTGTTCCACAAATACACTGAGCTTCTCACTATTCAGATAAACAGCGCTCCAGAAATACACTGAGCGTGTCACTATTTAGATATACAGTGTTCCAGAAATACACTGAGTGTGTCACTGTTCAGATATAAAGTGTTCCAGAAATACACTGAGCATGTCACTATTCAGATGTACAGTGTTCCAGAAATACACTGAGTGTGTCACTATTCAGATATACAGTGTTCCAGAAATACACTGAGCGTGTCACTATTCAGATATACAGTGTTCAAGAAATACACTGAGCTTGTCACTATTCAGATAAACAGCGCTCCAGAAATACACTGAGCGTGTCACTATTTAGATATACAGTGTTCCAGAAATACACTGAGCGTGTCACTGTTCAGATATAAAGTGTTCCAGAAATACACTGAGCATGTCACTATTTAGATAGACAGTGTTCCAGAAATACATTGAGTGTGTCACTATTCAGATATACAGTGTTCCAGAAATACACTGAGTGTGTCACTATTCAGATATACAGTGTTCCAGAAATACACTGAGCTTGTCACTATTCAGATATAAAGTGTTCCAGAAATACACTGAGCGTGTCACTATTCAGATATAAAGTGTTCCAGAAATACACTGAGCGTGTCACTATTCAGATATAGTGTGTTCCAGAAATACACTGAGCGTGTCGCTATTCGGATATACAGTGTTCCAGAAATACACTGAGCGTGTCGCTATTCAGATATACAGCGCCCCAGAAATACACTGAGCGTGTCACTATTCAGAAATACAGTGTTCCAGAAATACACTGAGCGTGTCACTATTCAGATAAACAGCGCTCCAGAAATACACTGAGCGTGTCACTATTTAGATATACAGTGTTCCAGAAATACACTGAGCGTGTCACTGTTCAGATATGAAGTGTTCCAGAAATACACTGAGCGTGTCACTATTCAGGTATACAGTGTTCCAGAAATACACTGAGCGTGTCACTATTCAGATATAAAGTGTTCCAGAATTACACTGAGCGTGTCACTATTCAGATATAGTGTGTTCCAGAAATACACTGAGCGTGTCGCTATTCAGATATACAGTGTTACAGAAATACACTGAGCGTGTCACTATTTAGATAGACAGTGTTCCACAAATACACTGAGCTTGTCACTATTCAGATAAACAGCGCTCCAGAAATACACTGAGCGTGTCACTATTTAGATATACAGTGTTCCAGAAATACACTGACCGTGTCACTGTTCAGATATAAAGTGTTCCAGAAATACACTGAGCATGTCACTATTTAGATAGACAGTGTTCCAGAAATACACTGAGTGTGTCACTATTCAGAAATACAGTGTTCCAGAAATACACTGAGCTTGTCACTTTTCAGATATACAGTGTTCCAGAAATACACTGAGCGTGTCACTATTCAGATATAGTGTGTTCCAGAAATACACTGAGCGTGTCACTATTCAGATATACAGCGCTCCAGAAATACACTGAGCGTGTCACTGTTCAGATATAAAGTGTTCAAGAAATACACTGACCGTGTCACTATTAAATTAAACAGCGCTCCAGAAATACACTGAGTGTGTCACTATTTAGATATACAGCGCTCCAGAAATACACTGAGCGTGTCACTATTCAGATATACAGTGTTCCAGAAATACACTGAGCGTGTCACTGTTCAGATATGAAGTGTTCCAGAAATACACTGAGCATGTCACTATTCAGATATACAGTGTTCCAGAAATACACTGAGCGTGTCACTACTAGATATAAAGTGTTCCAGAATTACACTGAGCGTGTCACTATTCAGATATAGTGTGTTCCAGAAATACACTGAGCGTGTCGCTATTCAGATATACAGTGTTCCAGAAATACACTGAGCGTGTCACTATTTAGATAGACAGTGTTCCAGAAATACACTGAGCTTGTCACTATTCAGATAAACAGCGCTCCAGAAATACACTGAGCGTGTCACTATTTAGATATACAGTGTTCCAGAAATACACTGAGCGTGTCACTATTCAGATATAGTGTGTTCCAGAAATACACTGAGCTTGTCACCATTCAGATATAGTGTGTTCCAGAAATACACTGAGCGTGTCACTATTCAGATATACAGTGTTCCACAAATACACTGAGCGTGTCACTATTTAGATATACAGTGTTCCAGAAATACACTGAGCTTGTCACTATTCAGATATACAGTGTTCCAGAAATACACTGAGCATGTCACTATTCAGATATACAGTGTTCCAGAAATACACTGAGCTTGTCACTATTCAGATATACAGCGCTCCAGAAATACACTGAGCGTGTCACTATTTAGATATACAGTGTTCCAGAAATACACTGAGCTTGTCACTATTCAGATATAGTGTGTTCCAGAAATACACTGAGCTTGTCACTATTCAGATATAGTGTGTTCCAGAAATACACTGAGCGTGTCACTATTCAGATATACAGTGTTCCACAAATACACTGAGCGTGTCACTATTCAGATATACAGTGTTCCAGAAATACACTGAGCTTGTCACTATTCAGATATAGTGTGTTCCAGAAATACACTGAGCATGTCACTATTCAGATATACAGTGTTCCAGAAATACACTGAGCTTGTCACTATTCAGATATACAGTGTTCCAGAAATACACTGAGCTTGTCACTATTCAGATATACAGTGTTCCAGAAATACACTGAGCTTGTCACTATTCAGATATACAGTGTTCCAGAAATACACTGAGCTTGTCACTATTCAGATATACAGTGTTCCAGAAATACACTGAGCATGTCACTATTCATATATACAGTGTTCCAGAAATACACTGAGTGTGTCACTATTCAGATATAAAGTGTTCCAGAAATACACTGAGCGTGTCACTATTCAGATATAGTGTGTTCCAGAAATACACTGAGCGTGTCACTATTCAGATATACAGTGTTCCACAAATACACTGAGCGTGTCACTATTTAGATATACAGTGTTCCAGAAATACACTGAGCTTGTCACTATTCAGATATAGTGTGTTCCAGAAATACACTGAGCATGTCACTATTCAGATATACAGTGTTCCAGAAATACACTGAGCTTGTCACTATTCAGATATACAGTGTTCCAGAAATACACTGAGCTTGTCACTATTCAGATATACAGCGCTCCAGAAATACACTGAGCGTGTCACTATTTAGATATACAGTGTTCCAGAAATACACTGAGCTTGTCACTATTCAGATATAGTGTGTTCCAGAAATACACTGAGCTTTTCACTATTCAGATATAGTGTGTTCCAGAAATACACTGAGCGTGTCACTATTCAGATATACAGTGTTCCACAAATACACTGAGCGTGTCACTATTTAGATATACAGTGTTCCAGAAATACACTGAGCTTGTCACTATTCAGATATACAGTGTTCCAGAAATACACTGAGCATGTCACTATTCAGATATACATTGTTCCAGAAATACACTGAGCTTGTCACTATTCAGATATACAGTGTTCCAGAAATACACTGAGCTTGTCACTATTCATATATACAGTGTTCCAGAAATACACTGAGCTTGTCACTATTTAGATATACAGTGTTCCAGAAATACACTGAGCTTGTCACTATTCAGATATACAGTGTTCCAGAAATACACTGAGCATGTCACTATTCAGATATACAGTGTTCCTGAAATACACTGAGTGTGTCACTATTCAGATATACAGTGTTCCACAAATACACTGAGCGTGTCACTATTTAGATATACAGTGTTCCAGAAATACACTGAGCTTGTCACTATTCAGATATAGTGTGTTCCAGAAATACACTGAGCATGTCACTATTCAGATATACAGTGTTCCAGAAATACACTGAGCTTGTCACTATTCAGATATACAGTGTTCCAGAAATACACTGAGCTTGTCACTATTCAGGTATACAGTGTTCCAGAAATACACTGAGCTTGTCACTATTCAGATATACAGTGTTCCAGAAATACACTGAGCTTGTCACTATTCATATATACAGTGTTCCAGAAATACACTGAGCTTGTCACTATTCAGAGATACAGTGTTCCAGAAATACACTGAGCGTTTCACACTTCAGACCTACTAAGATGCTTACCGACTGTTTGACGTGTACGTAACGTGGGTTCTAGTTAAGCTGTTGTTTTTTTGCTTAGATCGCCTTGCAGCAAGGGGCTTTCATGGCCGACCAAGAGAGGTGATTTTGAAAGCAGTGTTGCACCAGTCAGACAACGAATCACATTCATACGCAGTACAGACAGGCAAATCTGTGTTCTGGTGAATTTTTCATTCGTGTCTAATACAAAGTTGTTTTTCCCCAATATAACATAAATATGACATAACTGACATTTAAGCTTACACTAAATGATATGTTATATTCTACATCTTCCAGAAGCCCGACTATGTGCGGAGAGTTTCGACTGCAAATATGCGGAGACGTCAGCAGCCTTGAACCATCACGTGGATGAGCTGCTGGTTGGAAGTCTCAGCCAGATCCGTCTCAAGTTGAACATCAGCACGGTGATGCCTCCCGTCGTCAGGGACAACAAGAGAAAGGACAAGAAGAAGCATCACGGTTTTGCCCGGAGCATCCTTAATAAGCTGTTCCGGAAGAGCGCCAAGAAGACACAGTCATGTGACAATTTGTATGCTTTGTGATTGGCTGGTGAGAGTGTCGTCTGCCAGGTGCATGTCGACTGTTGGTGACAGCGAGATGGGTGAGACCTGCGGGTGACAGTTTGCAATATATTCCCAATGTCTCTGGTTGCTAGGATTGGAGCGGGGATCCATATAACTAACTGTCTTATTATTATGCAGCTTTGAGGCCAATGTGGGGACGCCAGGGAAGTCGCCACATCCATTTTATGCTAAACAAGATGGCGGCAGAGTTGATATAACATTTCCAGGAGGGGACAACCCGTTTCGCGTGGGAAGCACGCGCTACTGACTCATAGAGCTGTAACGACAAAGGTACCGTTCTATACTCCCAATTATTATCGCAGGCGTGTAGAAACTCAGCTTCTATTGGAGGAAATGTATTTACATCTATGCACTGGATGCAACTTCAATGTTTCTTGAACTATAGGTTTAACACAGAGGTGAGCGTTTGAACGTGTATTCTGTTTATTAGCAATAGTTTGGGTTTAGTTGATATTTGATAACAATTTCTCCAGGACAGGATGACAGCTTGTGAGATCTGTATTGTTAAGTCCGTGTGTAGAGGGAGCAGTGTCCTCATAGTGTGCATGAAGATAGAGGTACGACACTACCACCAGAAGACGATGAAGCGCAGACTGTTGCGCGAACCTTGTTTCGTAAAAATTACAGCATTCAAAATATGTACACCTTGCTACACATAGCTACTGGTCAGCAGCGGTAGGAATCTTCAGAAGTAATAACACATGACCCAGCCGGAGGAGAGGTACAGACAGATAGACAGCTGGTTGTTTGAACGCACCACTAGAGCCAGCCTGGGAGAGATTTCTCCCACTGACGCGGGTTCCCGGTATATTTATCTACCTTGCCGCGAGCCGGGTGCCTCCCGAGATGATAAATAAAAGTAAGACTTATGGTCATTGGTGGGTCGGCGAGGGGCGCGGTGACGTCATGCTGACATCGCAGACATTCCAATGGTTCAATGGCAGAGGGATGTTGGAAACTGTTATGCCAATATTTCTTGGAATGTCTTTGGCAGGGAGACGTTTATTGCACTATATACGACACCTGAAATGAGCAATGTGCAAGCTGGACGGCTCGCTCTGTAGCCCGACACGCCATTGTTTACCGCCGGAATTTAGATACGACCTCACTTTAGATTCCAGCCTGGCAATGCAGTTCTTTGAAGTTATAAAACCTCGCGGAATGACCATAGCAATCACGACTGGCATTAGGTATTTAAATTGGAAACTATTTTGGGATGGGAAGGAATATCAAGTATACATGTTAATGCCAATGGAACAGATATTAAAGTCTTTTAGCTATATGGGTGATGAGTTCTTCATTAGTGTCGTTGGGCGTTGCTGGTAATAAAATATCTTGTAGATGAATGGTCACATGACGTGATGATTGTTCTGGGGTTCTAACGAGGGAGTTAGCCATGTGATTCGGTGTCCGGGAGAATTTGCAAACAGCATTAACTTTCTTTCTGCTGGCAGTGGGAATCCTTTCTGCTCATTCGTGAATATAAACATTAATTTATATGGATGTCAAACAGATTTTACACTATTAAGTGTAACTGAGGTATAGCTCTAAACGAGCCCTTTATTGTTGATGAGGCGGTTGGAAAGCCTAGTGGTTTAAGCGTTCGCTCGTCACGCCGAAGACCCGGGTTCGATTCCCGACACGGGTACAATGTGTAAAGCCTATTTCTGGTATCCCCCGTCGTCATATTGCTTGAATATTGCTAAAAGCAGCGTAAAACCATACTCACTCACTCACTCTGCAGATAGTCCAGGGTTATCTGCCCAGACATGCCTAGTGTGACGTTAGAGGTTGTTACTGGCTTGGTACTGTGTGTCCCCATCCGTCACGTCAGGGTGGGCTTACGTGACAGACATCTTGTACCCAATACCCATTTATCTGCAATTTCCCCCACTTATCACCTGGAGCTAATGAAGCAGGTGTGTTTCACATTTCAATGCTAATGGAACATGCAGTGTGCGAAAAGGTTTATCCCTAACATCGCGTTGAGAGCGTTAGCAGAAACAACAAGAAGCTTACTGCTGGCACATCCGGACTTCCGCTACATATTCAACACTTATGTGTTTACACGTCACACCTGCACAAGTAATTCTGCCATGTAATGATACCAATTTGAAAAACTGCAGTCTTTGGTAAATTAAACTAATTGTTCGACCACAATCTTCATGCACATATAACTCTCTATCCAGGAATTTATACTAGAGCGAGGAACAACATTTCACCAGTTTATGTCGGGGGCGTGTACTTACCACGTGGCCATATAGCCTGCATCTTCTCTGTTGCTTATCTATATTCATGCAGCATGTGCAGCCTACCCAGGCGATGTGATGTATATACCGTACAACATATATCTATATTGTCATCAATGTTGAAATGATTACTTTATTTTTGTCTTCCATGATGATAAATATTGCGTCATATTCATAAAGATCAATATATCAGTGATTCCATGAGACTTATGTGCATTTATTCACGAGATGCGTTGTATTGTGTGTTGGTGTCGTTAAGCTGATCATGTACCAAAGCACACTGATGTTGTCGTGGCTGTTAGGTGTGGTTTAGAGGTGCAAGCAGAGTTCCATACAGAGAATGGGTGCATGTTTTGTAATGCAAACACTTCATGGGTGTATTAAATGCAGATAGAATCCAATGCAATATAATGCACACTCTAGGGTGTATTCAATGCACAGAGTTCACTGCAAAATTCGCATCTGATGCCAGTTAGGATGTTTGCGAGTCGTAGACATGGGGGAGCTTCAGTGTAAGTTCGCGGATACACTATTTACATGTTATTGTTATATTTGATATATGCCATGAAAGTTTGATTTCATATCTACTCAATATGCCTTAGACTTTACACTGACAGATACAGTGACATATACAATGTTATTTAATGTTACTTCCAGAGAAAAATATCGGAATCGGAAAAGAATTATGCAATATACGAGGGGTTATTTACATATGCAAGTAAATCGATGCAAAGCACATGCCCCGTTTTGTATTCAGTCTCAACACAAATCACGTGTGTCTCAATCAGTTTCAGCAAAACAATAATAAGTACCCTTGTTTCCTTTCGGTTTTTAAACGGCACTACACAGGTTTCAAGTACGTTCATTTGTTTTAGGTGTCCCATGTTATCTGACATGAATTGAATTGCAGATTGTTTACACATATCCATGTAATAATCTTATTTAGATATACATAACTGTACATATTTTTGATAATAAAATCGCTGGTTTTATTACTTGGTGCTTGTCTCAATACGGATGGGGACAGAAGAACCGCGACTGGGGAACAATATCTGCCTCCCAATCAGGAACAGGGTGGGGGACAGTGACGTCAAGCTGTTCTAGCACTGTGTAGGGTAGGTAAAGGTCAAACTGAGGCGGAGAGGGACACAGGCACAGACACAGAGACAGACAGACAAACAGAGAGAGGGAGGGGGAGAGTGACGTCAAGCTGTTCTAGCACTGTGTAGGGTAGGTAAAGGTCAACCTGAGGCGGAGAGGGACACAGGCACAGACACACAGAGAGACAGACACACAGAGAGAGAGGGAGGGGGACAGTGACGTCAAGCTGTTCTAGCACTGTGTAGGGTAGGTAAAGGTCAACCTGAGGCGGAGAGGGACACAGGCACAGACACACAGAGAGACAGACACACAGAGAGAGAGGGAGGGGGAGAGTGACGTCAAGCTGTTCTAGCACTGTGTAGGGTAGGTAAAGGTCAACCTAAGGCGGAGAGGGACACAGGCACAGACACAGAGACAGACAGACACACACAGAGAGAGGGAGGGGGAGAGTGACGTCAAGCTGTTCTAGCACTGTGTAGGGTAGGTAAAGGTCAACCTGAGGCGGAGAGGGACACAGGCACAGACACAGAGACAGACAGACACACACAGAGAGAGGGAGGGGGACAGTGACGTCAAGCTGTTCTAGCACTGTGTAGGGTAGGTAAAGGTCAAACTGAGGCGGAGAGGGACACAGGCACAGAAAGAGAGAGAGGCAGACACACAGAGAGAGAGGGAGGGGGAGAGTGACGTCAAGCTGTTCTAGCACTGTGTAGGGTAGGTAAAGGTCAACCTGAGGCGGAGAGGGACACAGGCACAGACACAGAGACAGACAGACACACAGAGAGAGAGGGAGGGGGACAGTGACGTCAAGCTGTTCTAGCACTGTGTAGGGTAGGTAAAGGTCAACCTGAGGCGGAGAGGGACACAGGCACAGACACACAGAGAGACAGACACACACAGAGAGAGGGAGGGGGACAGTGACGTCAAGCTGTTCTAGCACTGTGTAGGGTAGGTAAAGGTCACCCTGAGGCGGAGAGGGACACTGGCACAGACACACAGAGAGAAAGACACACAGAGAGAGAGGGAGGGGGAGAGTGACGTCAAGCTGTTCTAGCACTGTGTAGGGTAGGTAAAGGTCAACCTAAGGCGGAGAGGGACACAGGCACAGACACAGAGACAGACAGACACACACAGAGAGAGGGAGGGGGAGAGTGACGTCAAGCTGTTCTAGCACTGTGTAGGGTAGGTAAAGGTCAACCTGAGGCGGAGAGGGACACAGGCACAGACACAGAGACAGACAGACACACACAGAGAGAGGGAGGGGGACAGTGACGTCAAGCTGTTCTAGCACTGTGTAGGGTAGGTAAAGGTCAAACTGAGGCGGAGAGGGACACAGGCACAGAAAGAGAGAGAGGCAGACACACAGAGAGAGAGGGAGGGGGAGAGTGACGTCAAGCTGTTCTAGCACTGTGTAGGGTAGGTAAAGGTCAACCTGAGGCGGAGAGGGACACAGGCACAGACACAGAGACAGACAGACACACAGAGAGAGAGGGAGGGGGACAGTGACGTCAAGCTGTTCTAGCACTGTGTAGGGTAGGTAAAGGTCAACCTGAGGCGGAGAGGGACACAGGCACAGACACACAGAGAGACAGACACACACAGAGAGAGGGAGGGGGACAGTGACGTCAAGCTGTTCTAGCACTGTGTAGGGTAGGTAAAGGTCACCCTGAGGCGGAGAGGGACACTGGCACAGACACACAGAGAGAAAGACACACAGAGAGAGAGGGAGGGGGAGAGTGACGTCAAGCTGTTCTAGCACTGTGTAGGGTAGGTAAAGGTCAACCTGAGGCGGAGAGGGACACAGGCACAGACACACAGAGAGAGAGACACAGAGAGAGAGAGAGGGAGGGGGAGAGTGACGTCAAGCTGTTCTAGCACTGTGTAGGGTAGGTAAAGGTCAACCTGAGGCGGAGAGGGACACAGGCACAGACACAGAGACAGACAGACACACACAGAGAGAGGGAGGGGGAGAGTGACGTCAAGCTGTTCTAGCACTGTGTAGGGTAGGTAAAGGTCAACCTGAGGCGGAGAGGGACACAGGCACAGACACAGAGACAGACAGACACACACAGAGAGAGGGAGGGGGACAGTGACGTCAAGCTGTTCTAGCACTGTGTAGGGTAGGTAAAGGTCAACCTGAGGCGGAGAGGGACACAGGCACAGACACAGAGACAGACAGACACACAGAGAGAGAGGGAGGGGGACAGTGACGTCAAGCTGTTCTAGCACTGTGTAGGGTAGGTAAAGGTCAACCTGAGGCGGAGAGGGACACAGGCACAGACACACAGAGAGACAGACACACACAGAGAGAGGGAGGGGGACAGTGACGTCAAGCTGTTCTAGCACTGTGTAGGGTAGGTAAAGGTCAAACTGAGGCGGAGAGGGACACAGGCACAGACACAGAGACAGACAGACACACACAGAGAGAGGGAGGGGGAGAGTGACGTCAAGCTGTTCTAGCACTGTGTAGGGTAGGTAAAGGTCACCCTGAGGCGGAGAGGGACACTGGCACAGACACACAAAGAGAAAGACACACAGAGAGAGAGGGAGGGGGAGAGTGACGTCAAGCTGTTCTAGCACTGTGTAGGGTAGGTAAAGGTCAACCTGAGGCGGAGAGGGACACAGGCACAGACACACAGAGAAACAGACAGAGAGAGAGAGAGGGAGGGGGAGAGTGACGTCAAGCTGTTCTAGCACTGTGTAGGGTAGGTAAAGGTCAAACTGAGGCGGAGAGGGACACACGCACAGAAAGAGAGAGAGGCAGACACAGAGAGAGAGAGGGAGGGGGGGGGAGTGAGTGAGATAAGAGAGAGTGAGGGGGAGAACGAGAGAGGAGGAGGGGGAGAGTGAGTGAGATAAGAGAGAGTGAGGGGGAGAACGAGAGAGGAGGAGGGGGAGAGTGAGTGAGATAAGAGAGAGTGAGGGGGGGAACGAGAGAGAGAGGGAGGGGGAGAGTGAGTGAGATAAGAGAGAGTGAGGGGGAGAACGAGAGAGGAGGAGGGGGAGAGTGAGTGAGATAAGAGAGAGTGAGGGGGAGAACGAGAGAGAGGGAGGGGGAGAGTGAGTGAGATAAGAGAGAGTGAGGGGGAGAACGAGAGAGGAGGAGGGGGAGAGTGAGTGAGATAAGAGAGAGTGAGAGGGAGAACGAGAGAGGAGGAGGGGGAGAGTGAGTGAGATAAGAGAGAGTGAGAGGGAGAACGAGAGAGGAGGAGGGGGAGAGTGAGTGAGATAAGAGAGAGTGAGAGGGAGAACGAGAGAGGAGGAGGGAGAGAGTGAGGGGGAGAGAGAGTGAGGGGGAGAGAGAGTGAGGGGAGAAAAAGCAAGAGAGGGATAGGGGAGAGAGAGAGAAAGAGAGGAGGGAGAGAGTGGGAAGAGGGCGGGAGAGGGAGAGGGGAGGAAGGAAAGAGAGAGGCATTGACTGGTCCCTTCTGCATTAAAGAATACAATAGTTGAACCATACACTCATACAGTATACATATGAACATTGTAATCCCAAGCAAATAAGACACATGTAGGCACATCGTGATCTCAATCAAACATGACCCGTGAAAATCCGTGAAAAAGTCTTCGGCAACCCATGCTTGCCGTAAAAGGTGACTATGCTTGTCGTAAGAGGCTGATGCATGTCATCGTATTCCAATTGCGTAGTTCGAAGCTCAGAATATCAGTAAATGGATTGTCTGATCCAGACAGACCGTCGTCATATATAAATATTGCTGAGTGCGTAGTAAACAACAAACAAACAAAGACGACACATATATACATCGTGGTCTCAAGCAAACATATGAATATTCTGATCTCACCCATACAGGACACACATGCATACATAATACATAATACATATATACAATGTACATTTGATTCAAATACACACTTAATTTCGCACGTGCACTGTAGAGGTATCTAATGTTTAACTCTCTGTCGATGTATTAGTTTCACGTGTGCCATGTGTGTTTACAACCCAGGCCAGGCAGCTATGTCAGTGCGGTACAACGGGGAACATTAGTGGCAGATGTTACACCACCTCAGCACCGGATCACGTGTCATCGCGTGACCTACACGTGACCTATGACCGCTGTGTGAGAAACAGGAGCCTTGCTGGCTCGATGTGCACATACTTAGATGACGTCAAGCACGCTGCCACACATCTGAGGTCGGAATAGCGGGTCGCTACCAGCACTGAGGTGGAGTTGGATGCGCGTGGTTTCCATACCTGGCCCGAGGAGATCCGGCCAAGGTCATGGGAAGCCGAGACACCCTGGCTAGGATTACCTGATAGTTCGGGAGATGCTTCGCGCAAGATAACCATGTGTTTTAAATGATTGAAGAAAATATTTATATTTATAGTTCCTTCTACAATGAGTCATTGTCAGACAAACAAAGAAAGGTTCCAGACGCAGCCTACTGGAACAGTTTTTAAGCACCGTCTAAAAATGGATGCTGACAATTCTGATGTGCCTATTTATATAGATGGATGGATGGATGGATGGATTGAGTGATGGATGATGGATGCATAGGTATATAGATCTACATGTATACATCGTATCTATTCACAAGCACAGGGGAAATGTGTTTAATAATTCAGCGACGTCTATTATTTCGTTTAATTAAAAAACACAAATTGAACAAAATTAAATGACAAAGCCTTTTTAGTAAAGCATCACTGTACTGGAAGAAGGTGTTCACCTGGACTTGTGGTGCAGCGGTGGGAGGTGTTCACCTGGGTCTGTGGTGTAGCGGTGGGAGGAGGTGTTCACCTGGGTCTGTGGTGTAGCGATAGAAGGAGTTATTCACCTGAATCTGTGGTGTAGCGGTGGGAGGAGGTGTTCATCTGGATATGTGGTGTGGCGATGGGATTAGGTGTCCATTTCGACTTGTGTTCACCTGGGTCTGTAGTGTAGCGGTGGGCGGTGGGAGGAGGTGTTCACCTGGGTCTGTGGTGTAGCTGTGATAGGAGGTAACGATCTGGACTTGTGGTGCATTGGTAAAAGAAGGTGTTTACCTGGGTCTGTGGTGTAGCGGTGGGATGAGTTGTTCACCTGTGTCTGTGGTGTAGCGGTGGGAGGAGGTGTTCACCTGCGTCTGTGGTGTAGCGATAGAAGGAGTTATTCACCTGGGTCTGTGGTGTAGCGGTGGGAGGAGGTGTTCGTCTGGGTCTGTGGTGTAGCGGTGGGAGGAGGTGTTCACCTGGGTCTGTGGTGTAGCGGTGGGAGGAGGTGTTCACCTGGGTTTGTGGTGTAGCGGTGGGAGGAGGTGTTCACCTGGGTCTGTGGTGCAGTGGTGGGAGGAGGTGTTCACCTGGGTCTGTGGTGTAGCGGTGGGAGGAGGTGTTCATATGGATATATGGTGTGGCGATGGGATTAGGTGTCCATTTCGACTTGTGTTCACCTGGGTCTGTAGTGTAGCGGTGGGCGGTGGGAGGAGGTGGCCATCTGGACTTGTGGTGCAGTGTTAAGAGAAGGTGTTTACCTGGGTCTGTGGTGTAGCGGTAGGAGGAGGTGTTCACCTGGGTTTGTGGTGTACGGGTAGGAAAAGGTGTTCACCTTGGTCTGTGGTGCTGCGGTGGTAGGAGGTAACCATCTGGACTTGTGGTGCAGTGTTAAGAGAAGGTGTTTACCTGGGTCTGTGGTGTAGCGGTAGGAGGAGGTGTTCACCTGGGTTTGTGGTGTACGGGTAGGAAAAGGTGTTCACCTTGGTCTGTGGTGCAGTGGTGGGAGGAGGTGTTCGCCTGGGTCTGTGGTGTAGCGGTAGGAGGAGGTGTTCACCTGGGTTTGTGGTGTAGCGGTGGGAGGAGGTAACCATCTTGACTTGTGATGCAGTGGTAGGAGAAGGTGTTTACCTGGGTCCGTAGTGCAGTGGTGGGAGGAGGTGTTCACCTGGGTTTGTGGTGTAGCGATAGGAAAAGGTGTTCACCTTGGTCTGTGGTGCTGCGGTGGTAGGAGGTAACCATCTTGACTTGTGGTGCAGTGATAAGAGAAGGTGTTTACCTGGGTCTGTGGTGTAGCGGTGGGAGGAGGTAGCCATCTTGACTTGTGGTGCAGTGATAAGAGAAGGTGTTTACCTGGGTCTGTGGTGTAGCGGTGGGAGGAGGTGGCCATCTGGGCTTGTGGTGCAGTGATGAGAGAAGGTGTTTACCTGGGTCTGTGGTGCAGTGTGGTGGGAGGAGGTGATCACCTTGGTCTGTTGTGCATCGGTGGGAAAAGGTGTTTACCTGGGTCTGTGGTGTAGCGGTGGGAGGAGGTGGCCATCTGGACTTGTGGTGCAGTGATGAGAGAAGGTGTTTACCTGGGTCTGTGGTGCAGTTCCTGAACAGTAGTTTTCAAAACTGGTTTGATTTTTGGCAGAATTTTCCGTGAAAACTGAATCGATACTGTTTTATTAGTGTTGAAATCAACCTGCCAGTTTTCTGCCCAAGAGGATATTCTAATTAGATCATTGTTCAGACAATGTGCTGATGTATGTGGATCATATAGGGATGTGTCATCGGCAAACAATCTAATATTACTCATCAATATCGTCTATAATGTCGTTTATGAAGATTAAAAACAGCAGCGCTCCTAAAACTGACCCTTGTAGAACTCCAGCCATAACTGGTTGTAAGTCTGAAATATACCCATTGATAACAACGGGGTATTTGTTGGTGGTTTCAGTTTCCATTGTGAACTTGATTCCTTGGTGTTGTAGGCTGAGGTGGTCCAGTAGTGCTTCTGGATTCTGTTCTTTGTCTAGGATGGTGAACTTGATTCCTTGGTGCTGTAGGCTGAGGTGGTCCAGTAGTGCTTCTCGATCCTGTTCTTTGTCTGGGATGGTGAACTTGATTCCTTGGTGTTGTAGGCTGAGGTGGTCCAGTAGTGCTTCTCGATCCTGTTCTTTGTCTAGGATGGTGAAGGCTGAAAGGGGAGAATGTCAAGGCAGCTTCTTCAAAACTAGTCATCAAGATTTATGAAATTAGTGGGAACAAGGGTGACATTTGGGAGGCTATGTATCTGCTAATAGATCTTGCCAGTCCATGTGAAATACGACGTGGTGAAACAGGAGGCGGTTAACTGTGTGATGCTGTCTATTGAGAGGGATGTGCCCAACTGGAAATGCTATCTACTTCATTTCCAGTTGTACGTCCAGATAGAACTACAACAAAAGTACGTATGGATTTTGATGCTTCTGCAAAGCGTCAGAGAGTCTCATTCAATGACAGAATACATCCAGGACCAAAATTGCAGAATGATTTATTTGAAATCTTGCGTCGTTTCAGGAAGCAGCCTGTAGAACTTCTTTTCGACATCACTGAGATGTATCTCCAAATTGAAGTGAAACCTGAAGACCGTCCATACCTCAGATTTCTATGAAGATCCATGAATTCAAATGAGACACTACACGTGTATGAGTTTAACAGAGTGGTGTTTGGCTTAAACTGTTCACCATTCTTAGCACAATACATTTCTCAAGAACATGCAAAAGAACATCAACATGATTTCACACTTGGTGCTGAGACTGTAGCAAATTTCACATATATGGAGGATAGTATGGATTCAGTGGAAGATGACATGACTTGGGTAGAGTTGTATGATCAGTTGACTAAGCTCTGCAAGGCAGGCTTGCACGCCAGTAAATGGCTCTCAAATTCGTTGGATGTCCTTGATGGAATTCCGTTAGAATCCATGGCATAGAAGGTCAACAGCATAAACAAGAATGAGTTGGCTTCAGTGAAAACACTAGGTCTTTTGTGGATAGCAAATGATGATGAGTTTAATTTCTGCCGCATGTTCCTGAGAACATTGTGAGAATGACGAAAATATATTTCTCAGAGAAATTGCAAGGATCTTTGAAGTGAAGGAAATTCGAGACCTTGTCAACAAACTTGACATGACTGCTAACACGTCCTCAGCAAATATTCCCCTATTTGCTAAGGACTTTTTGCATTTGGGGATTCAACCCTCCTAATGCACCACATTTCGGTTGTGTAACTGAATGCATGAATCTTTGTCCATGGACAGGAGATGTCACGCATGAAGAACTAACTACAGCATGTACTGCTGCAGAAGCACTTATCAATGCTTGTCCACTTACGTATCAAAGTGCTGACAGTCAAGATGATGTACCCTTAACACCAAATCATCTTATGCACGGACAAGTTGGTGGAACGTTTGCGCCTGAGAATGTTGACACGACATCATTTAACCCAAGAAAGCATTGGAGAAGAATGCAAGAATTTGGCAGGCACTTCTGGAGAAGTCACAAGTCGGAAAAAATGGAGAAAAGCCAGTCGCAATATCAAAGTGAATGATGTTGTGATCATTGTAATACCAGAGTCACGACATGCAAGTTGGCCTACTTACCTAGGCAATGATGGACATGTTCGTGTGGTTTACGTCAAAATGGGCAAGTCTACGCTGATCTGACCGGTGACAGAGGTATATCCTCTGGAGTGGAACTCGGAGGATGACTCAACAGACCACGAATGTTCATCTGATCTGGTGGGGTCTTGTATGCTGATGGACTCATCAGGCTCTGGTCACATCACGGTTGAGGTTGTGACGTTCCTTATGAAGGAGCAAGAGGTAGTTCTGAAACGTCGTACACTGAATAAAGAAGTTGCTATTCATTAAAAAGTGTCATTTATTCATGTTCTCACAACTTCTAAATGCCAACTTCATAGACTTGCCTATTATATGGATAGAATTACTATACGCCCATTGACTCATCATTCAGTAAAGCCTTGGAGCAAGGCTACATGAGTACAAGCTGCTCACTTTCCCACGACCACAACCACACACAAAGTCTCCCGCAAACTGGAGCAGATGTAGCCTTGCTCCAGGTTGTACTGAATGATAAGTCCATGGATGTATAGTCATTCTGTCCTTATTCTAGGCAAGTCTAGATAAGCGGACAGTACAGTGAGGTGAGTGAATTTTTGCCTTATGGACAGATTAAATGAACTCAATGGTCCACTCTGTGACCTGATGTCAGGGCAAACCATTCAACTTGACTGTAACAAAGTGTTTAACCAAGTGCACGTTAATGCATGGTTAATCTATTCACGCTCTACGATCACTCCCCCCGCCCCGCATCCCCGAGATGTCTTACAGATGCAGTGCTTCCTCAACACAGATTGCCCCTTTACCTAGATGGGAATCCCACTGCGTATGTAACAGAAAGCTTTATACCAGCACTTCTGCTTGAGTTAGTGTCTACTTTGATCACAGAACCTTGATCATCATCCCCCATTTAACGCCACCCATGTCTACAAACAGCTCTGTTTCGCAGCCTCCAGCTAGTGTATTTAAAGATCAGCTGACTTTGTAATTCTAATCTCTAATGGTTTGCGACTGATGACTCTGACAGCTTTACAGCCTGATGGTAGCCACATGTCGGTCCACCCACTTTAAAGGAAATCGACAGGTCGATTCAAATACAGATTTAGTTATTGATTACATTCCGGACCCGTGAAGTGCCATCAGCGACGTGTGTTCTATACAGGTGCCACCAGTGAGGTGTTCTATACAGGTGCCACCAGTGAGGTGTTCTATACAGGTGCCACCAGTGAGGTGTTCTATACAGGTGCCACCAGTCAATTGTTCTATACGGGTGCCACAAGTGAGGTGTTCTATACGGGTGCCACCAGTCAGGTGATCTATACAGGTGCCACCAGTCAGGTGATCTATACAGGTGCCACCAGTCAGGTGATCTATACAGGTGCCACCAGTCAGGTGATCTATACAGGTACCACCAGTTAGGTGATCTATACGGGTGCCACAAGTGAGGTGTTCTATACAGGTGCCATCAGTCAGGTGTACTATACAGGTGCCACAAGTCAGGTGATCTATACAGGTGCCACCAGTCAGGTGATCTATACAGGTGCCACCAGTCAGGTGTTCTATACAGGTGCCACCAGTCAGGTGATCTATACAGGTGCCATCAGTCAGGTGAACTATACAGGTGCCACCAGTCAGGTGTTCTGTACAGGTGCCACCAGTTAGGTGTTCTATACGGGTGCCACCAGTCAGGTGTTCTATACAGGTGCCACAAGTAAGGTGTTCTATACGGGTGCCACCAGTGAGGTGTTCTATACAGGTGCAGTAAGTGAGGTGTTCTATACAGGTGCAGTAGGTGAGGTGTTCTAAACAGGTGCCGTCAGTGAGGTGTTCTATACAGGTGCAGTAAGTGAGGTGTTCTATACAGGTGCAGTAGGTGAGGTGTTCTATACAGGTGCAGTAAGTGAGGTGTTCTATACAGGTGCAGTAAGTGAGGTGTTCCATACAGGTGCAGTAGGTGAGGTGTTCTTAACAGGTGCAGTCAGTGAGGTGTTCTATACAGGTGCAGTAAGTGAGGTGTTCTATACAGGTGCAGTAGGTGAGGTGTTCTATACAGGTGCAGTAGGTGAGGTGTTCTATATGCAGGTGCAGTAGGTGAGGTGTTCCATGCAGATGCCATCAGTGAAGTGTTCTATACAGGTGCAGTGATTGAGGTGTCCGATACAGGTGGAGTCAGCGAGGTGTTCTTTACAGGTGCCACCAGTCAGGTGATCTATAAAGGTGCCACCAGTCAGGTGATCTATACAGGTGCCACAAGTAAGGTGTTCTATACGGGTGCCACCAGTGAGGTGTTCTATACAGGTGCAGTAAGTGAGGTGTTCTATACAGGTGCAGTAGGTGAGGTGTTCTAAACAGGTGCAGTCAGTGAGGTGTTCTATACAGGTGCAGTAAGTGAGGTGTTCTATACAGGTGCAGTAGGTGAGGTGTTCTATATGCAGGTGCAGTAGGTGAGGTGTTCTATACAGGTGCAGTAAGTGAGGTGTTCTATACAGGTGCAGTAGGTGAGGTGTTCTAAACAGGTGCAGTCAGTGAGGTGTTCTATACAGGTGCAGTAAGTGAGGTGTTCTATACAGGTGCAGTAGGTGAGGTGTTCTATATGCAGGTGCAGTAGGTGAGGTGTTCTAAACAGGTGCCGTCAGTGAGGTGTTCTATACAGGTGCAGTAAGTGAGGTGTTCTATACAGGTGCAGTAGGTGAGGTGTTCTATACAGGTGCAGTAAGTGAGGTGTTCTATACAGGTGCAGTAAGTGAGGTGTTCCATACAGGTGCAGTAGGTGAGGTGTTCTTAACAGGTGCAGTCAGTGAGGTGTTCTATACACGTGCAGTAGGTGAGGTGTTCTATACAGGTGCAGTAGGTGAGGTGTTCTATACTGGTGCAGTAGGTGAGGTGTTCTATATGCAGGTGCAGTAGGTGAGGTGTTCCATGCAGATGCCATCAGTGAAGTGTTCTATACAGGTGCAGTGATTGAGGTGTCCGATACAGGTGGAGTCAGCGAGGTGTTCTTTACAGGTGCCACCAGTCAGGTGATCTATAAAGGTGCCACCAGTCAGGTGATCTATACAGGTGCCACAAGTAAGGTGTTCTATACGGGTGCCACCAGTGAGGTGTTCTATACAGGTGCAGTAAGTGAGGTGTTCTATACAGGTGCAGTAGGTGAGGTGTTCTAAACAGGTGCAGTCAGTGAGGTGTTCTATACAGGTGCAGTAAGTGAGGTGTTCTATACAGGTGCAGTAGGTGAGGTGTTCTATACAGGTGCAGTAGGTGAGGTGTTCTATATGCAGGTGCAGTAGGTGAGGTGTTCCATGCAGATGCCATCAGTGAAGTGTTCTATACAGGTGCAGTGATTGAGGTGTCCGATACAGGTGGAGTCAGCGAGGTGTTCTTTACAGGTGCCACCAGTCAGGTGATCTATAAAGGTGCCACCAGTCAGGTGATCTATACAGGTGCCACAAGTAAGGTGTTCTATACGGGTGCCACCAGTGAGGTGTTCTATACAGGTGCAGTAAGTGAGGTGTTCTATACAGGTGCAGTAGGTGAGGTGTTCTAAACAGGTGCAGTCAGTGAGGTGTTCTATACAGGTGCAGTAAGTGAGGTGTTCTATACAGGTGCAGTAGGTGAGGTGTTCTATATGCAGGTGCAGTAGGTGAGGTGTTCTATACAGGTGCAGTAAGTGAGGTGTTCTATACAGGTGCAGTAGGTGAGGTGTTCTAAACAGGTGCAGTCAGTGAGGTGTTCTATACAGGTGCAGTAAGTGAGGTGTTCTATACAGGTGCAGTAGGTGAGGTGTTCTATATGCAGGTGCAGTAGGTGAGGTGTTCTAAACAGGTGCCGTCAGTGAGGTGTTCTATACAGGTTCAGTAAGTGAGGTGTTCTATACAGGTGCAGTAGGTGAGGTGTTCTATACAGGTGCAGTAAGTGAGGTGTTCTATACAGGTGCAGTAAGTGAGGTGTTCCATACAGGTGCAGTAGGTGAGGTGTTCTTAACAGGTGCAGTCAGTGAGGTGTTCTATACACGTGCAGTAGGTGAGGTGTTCTATACAGGTGCAGTAGGTGAGGTGTTCTATACAGGTGCAGTAGGTGAGGTGTTCTATATGCAGGTGCAGTAGGTGAGGTGTTCCATGCAGATGCCATCAGTGAAGTGTTCTATACAGGTGCAGTGATTGAGGTGTCCGATACAGGTGGAGTCAGCGAGGTGTTCTTTACAGGTGCCACCAGTCAGGTGATCTATAAAGGTGCCACCAGTCAGGTGATCTATACAGGTGCCACAAGTAAGGTGTTCTATACGGGTGCCACCAGTGAGGTGTTCTATACAGGTGCAGTAAGTGAGGTGTTCTATACAGGTGCAGTAGGTGAGGTGTTCTAAACAGGTGCAGTCAGTGAGGTGTTCTATACAGGTGCAGTAGGTGAGGTGTTCTATATGCAGGTGCAGTAGGTGAGGTGTTCTATACAGGTGCAGTAGGTTAGGTGTTCTATACAGGTGCAGTCAGTGAGGTGTTCTATATGCAGGTGCAGTAGGTGAGGTGTTCCATGCAGATGCCATCAGTGAAGTGTTCTAAACAAGTGCAGTGATTGAGGTGTCCGATACAGGTGGAGTCAGCGAGGTGTTCTTTACAGGTGCCACCAGTCAGGTGATCTATAAAGGTGCCACCAGTCAGGTGATCTATACAGGTACCACAAGTAAGGTGTTCTATACGGGTGCCACCAGTGAGGTGTTCTATACAGGTGCAGTAAGTGAGGTGTTCTATACAGGTGCAGTAGGTGAGGTGTTCTAAACAGGTGCAGTCAGTGAGGTGTTCTATACAGGTGCAGTAAGTGAGGTGTTCTATACAGGTGCAGTAGGTGAGGTGTTCTATATGCAGGTGCAGTAGGTGAGGTGTTCTATACAGGTGCAGTAAGTGAGGTGTTCTATACAGGTGCAGTAGGTGAGGTGTTCTAAACAGGTGCAGTCAGTGAGGTGTTCTATACAGGTGCAGTAAGTGAGGTGTTCTATACAGGTGCAGTAGGTGAGGTGTTCTATATGCAGGTGCAGTAGGTGAGGTGTTCTAAACAGGTGCCGTCAGTGAGGTGTTCTATACAGGTTCAGTAAGTGAGGTGTTCTATACAGGTGCAGTAGGTGAGGTGTTCTATACAGGTGCAGTAAGTGAGGTGTTCTATACAGGTGCAGTAAGTGAGGTGTTCCATACAGGTGCAGTAGGTGAGGTGTTCTTAACAGGTGCAGTCAGTGAGGTGTTCTATACACGTGCAGTAGGTGAGGTGTTCTATACAGGTGCAGTAGGTGAGGTGTTCTATACAGGTGCAGTAGGTGAGGTGTTCTATATGCAGGTGCAGTAGGTGAGGTGTTCCATGCAGATGCCATCAGTGAAGTGTTCTATACAGGTGCAGTGATTGAGGTGTCCGATACAGGTGGAGTCAGCGAGGTGTTCTTTACAGGTGCCACCAGTCAGGTGATCTATAAAGGTGCCACCAGTCAGGTGATCTATACAGGTGCCACAAGTAAGGTGTTCTATACGGGTGCCACCAGTGAGGTGTTCTATACAGGTGCAGTAAGTGAGGTGTTCTATACAGGTGCAGTAGGTGAGGTGTTCTAAACAGGTGCAGTCAGTGAGGTGTTCTATACAGGTGCAGTAGGTGAGGTGTTCTATATGCAGGTGCAGTAGGTGAGGTGTTCTATACAGGTGCAGTAGGTTAGGTGTTCTATACAGGTGCAGTCAGTGAGGTGTTCTATATGCAGGTGCAGTAGGTGAGGTGTTCCATGCAGATGCCATCAGTGAAGTGTTCTAAACAAGTGCAGTGATTGAGGTGTCCGATACAGGTGGAGTCAGCGAGGTGTTCTTTACAGGTGCCACCAGTCAGGTGATCTATAAAGGTGCCACCAGTCAGGTGATCTATACAGGTACCACAAGTAAGGTGTTCTATACGGGTGCCACCAGTGAGGTGTTCTATACAGGTGCAGTAAGTGAGGTGTTCTATACAGGTGCAGTAGGTGAGGTGTTCTAAACAGGTGCAGTCAGTGAGGTGTTCTATACAGGTGCAGTAAGTGAGGTGTTCTATACAGGTGCAGTAGGTGAGGTGTTCTATATGCAGGTGCAGTAGGTGAGGTGTTCTATACAGGTGCAGTAAGTGAGGTGTTCTATACAGGTGCAGTAGGTGAGGTGTTCTAAACAGGTGCAGTCAGTGAGGTGTTCTATACAGGTGCAGTAAGTGAGGTGTTCTATACAGGTGCAGTAGGTGAGGTGTTCTATATGCAGGTGCAGTAGGTGAGGTGTTCTAAACAGGTGCCGTCAGTGAGGTGTTCTAGACAGGTGCAGTAAGTGAGGTGTTCTATACAGGTGCAGTAGGTGAGGTGTTCTATACAGGTGCAGTAAGTGAGGTGTTCTATACAGGTGCAGTAAGTGAGGTGTTCCATACAGGTGCAGTAGGTGAGGTGTTCTAAACAGGTGCAGTCAGTGAGGTGTTCTATACAGGTGCAGTAAGTGAGGTGTTCTATACACGTGCAGTAGGTGAGGTGTTCCATGCAGATGCCATCAGTGAAGTGTTCTATACAGGTGCAGTGATTGAGGTGTCCGATACAGGTGGAGTCAGCGAGGTGTTCTTTACAGGTGCCACCAGTCAGGTGATCTATAAAGGTGCCACCAGTCAGGTGATCTATACAGGTGCCACAAGTAAGGTGTTCTATACGGGTGCCACCAGTGAGGTGTTCTATACAGGTGCAGTAAGTGAGGTGTTCTATACAGGTGCAGTAGGTGAGGTGTTCTAAACAGGTGCAGTCAGTGAGGTGTTCTATACAGGTGCAGTAAGTGAGGTGTTCTATACAGGTACAGTAGGTGAGGTGTTCTATATGCAGGTGCAGTAGGTGAGGTGTTCTATACAGGTGCAGTAAGTGAGGTGTTCTATACAGGTGCAGTAGGTGAGGTGTTCTAAACAGGTGCAGTCAGTGAGGTGTTCTATACAGGTGCAGTAAGTGAGGTGTTCTATACAGGTGCAGTAGGTGAGGTGTTCTATATGCAGGTGCAGTAGGTGAGGTGTTCTAAACAGGTGCCGTCAGTGAGGTGTTCTATACAGGTGCAGTAAGTGAGGTGTTCTATACAGGTGCAGTAGGTGAGGTGTTCTATACAGGTGCAGTAAGTGAGGTGTTCTATACAGGTGCAGTAAGTGAGGTGTTCCATACAGGTGCAGTAGGTGAGGTGTTCTAAACAGGTGCAGTCAGTGAGGTGTTCTATACAGGTGCAGTAAGTGAGGTGTTCTATACACGTGCAGTAGGTGAGGTGTTCTATACAGGTGCAGTAGGTGAGGTGTTCTATACAGGTGCAGTAGGTGAGGTGTTCTATATGCAGGTGCAGTAGGTGAGGTGTTCCATGCAGATGCCATCAGTGAAGTGTTCTATACAGGTGCAGTGATTGAGGTGTCCGATACAGGTGGAGTCAGCGAGGTGTTCTTTACAGGTGCCACCAGTCAGGTGATCTATAAAGGTGCCACCAGTCAGTTGATCTATACAGGTGCCACAAGTAAGGTGTTCTATACGGGTGCCACCAGTGAGGTGTTCTATACAGGTGCAGTAAGTGAGGTGTTCTATACAGGTGCAGTAGGTGAGGTGTTCTAAACAGGTGCAGTCAGTGAGGTGTTCTATACAGGTGCAGTAAGTGGGGTGTTCTATACAGGTGCAGTAGGTGAGGTGTTCTATATGCAGGTGCAGTAGGTGAGGTGTTCTATACAGGTGCAGTAGGTTAGGTGTTCTATACAGGTGCAGTCAGTGAGGTGTTCTATATGCAGGTGCAGTAGGTGAGGTGTTCCATGCAGATGCCATCAGTGAAGTGTTCTATACAGGTGCAGTGATTGAGGTGTCCGATACAGGTGGAGTCAGCGAGGTGTTCTTTACAGGTGCCACCAGTCAGGTGATCTATAAAGGTGCCACCAGTCAGGTGATCTATACAGGTGCCACAAGTAAGGTGTTCTATACGGGTGCCACCAGTGAGGTGTTCTATACAGGTGCAGTAAGTGAGGTGTTCTATACAGGTGCAGTAGGTGAGGTGTTCTAAACAGGTGCAGTCAGTGAGGTGTTCTATACAGGTGCAGTAAGTGAGGTGTTCTATACAGGTGCAGTAGGTGAGGTGTTCTATATGCAGGTGCAGTAGGTGAGGTGTTCTATACAGGTGCAGTAAGTGAGGTGTTCTATACAGGTGCAGTAAGTGAGGTGTTTCTATACAGGTGCAGTAGGTGAGGTGTTCTATACAGGTGCAGTCAGTGAGGTGTTCTATACAGGTGCAGTAGGTGAGGTGTTCTATACAAGTGCAGTCAGTGAGGTGTTCTATATGCAGGTGCAGTAGGTGAGGTGTTCCATGCAGATGCCATCAGTGAAGTGTTCTATACAGGTGCAGTGATTGAGGTGTCCGATACAGGTGGAGTCAGCGAGGTGTTCTTTACATGTTGAAAATATTGTGCTGTTGTGTGGGTTGTGCTGTTGCATGCATTGTCCTGATGTTTGCATTGTGCTGTTGTGTGGATTGTGCTGTTGTATGGATTGTGCTATTTGCATTGTGCTGTTGTATGGATTGAGTTGATGTGTGGATTGTGCTGTTGGATTGAGTTGGACTAAGTTGATGTGTGGACTGTGTTGCTGTATTTGAAGTACAACGATGCACAGAAATATATTATGACATTATATATTGTAAATGAATATATTCGAATGTTTGTTTTAATATTTTTTAATGAGTATAACCAAATGACATGTGAATCGCTTCACAATATGACGATTCCTAATATAGTATCACGCTCATCTATTTTTTAATTTTATTTTTAATGTTTACCATTTTAAACTCACCCAAGGGATTGTAATCACACTGAATACCTGTTGTTTTAAAGCGGTAGTCGACTAGAAAAGCCGTATATGTTTTGTTGCTATTATTTCAAATGTCATAAAGGTCAATCTCACGATACTGAACCACGCAGCTCTCCTTCATCTGTTTCTCATCGCCCATCATCATATTCATAATATTCCGCTCTCATCTGGGGGCACGGGTGGCCCAGTCGTCTAAGACGCCGCGATTTGCTGTGCGGATTTGCGTCCCTTGGGCACGCCAGAAACCTATGATTGTGGGTTCGAATCCCGGTTCGCCCTGATTATGTTTCTAGGTTTGTCAGCACCATACCCGTGCTCGTGGGTTTCGCCGAGGTGGTAAACGTCTGAGGCCTGCATCACTTCGGGCGTTCCTCCCAAATTAAGCTGACACCCCGCGATATAACTGGAATTCTGTTAAAAGCGGCGTTAAACCCAACTCACTCACTCACTCACTCACTCCGCTCTCATCTCCAGTAATCGAACATATTTTGTATCTAAGGTATAAAACCTTCTTTCATTAATGTTTTCACATCACGCAGTGTCAGTAGACACCGGTGAACACAGAATAATTAAAGAAGCACGGGAATGACGCTTGGTATTGTGGAATGCAGAGTGTTATCACTGAAAGATGTCCGAAATATTTATTGTTTTTTATTGGAACCTTCAGTCAGAAATCGATGATATTTAAGATTTTCTGGTTGGACATTTTCAATCACGATTCAAAAATTGTGTTCATCCAGAGACCATGGTCTCTGGTTCATCATTCCAAACGAATTTCCTGTTGTTGCTCTACTAATAAATTAACAATAGTTTATTTGCAAACCTGTGCACATCAATTTTTGTGCCCGTGTTGAATCAAACAATAGATGTCCAGCTCAGTGCCCGTCGTGAGAGGTGTGAGCCGTTATGAAGGCCATATAGGTCCCCAGCAACACGTGCTGGTCGTGAGAGGTGTGGGCAGTTGTGAAGGTCATGTAGGTCCCCAGCAACACGTACTGGTCGTGAGAAGGGTGAGCCGTTGTGAAGGTCATGTAGGTCCCCAGCAACACGTACTGGTCGTGAGAAGGGTGAGCCGTTGTGAAGGTCATATAGGTCCCCAGCAACACGTACTGGTCGTGAGAAGGGTGAGCCGTTGTGAAGGTCATGTAGGTCCCCAGCAACACGTACTGGTCGTGAGAAGGGTGAGCCGTTGTGAAGGTCATATAGGTCCCCAGCAACACGTACTGGTCGTGAGAAGGGTGAGCCGTTGTGAAGGTCATGTAGGTCCCCAGCAACACGTACTGGTCGTGAGAAGGGTGAGCCGTTGTGAAGGTCATGTAGGTCCCCAGCAACACGTGCTCGTCGTGAGAGGTGTGGGCAGTTGTGAAGGCCATATAGGTCTCCAGCAACACGTGCTGGTCGTGAGAGGTGTGGGCAGTTGTGAAGGTCATATAGGTCCCCAGCAACACGTGCTGGTCAGACTCGATCGGTTGGTCAGACTCGATCACGTAGTTGACGTCGTGACATTGTTCCCAACTGTATAGATTGTCCAGCCCTGATTATGTACAGGCCATCGTCATTTGGCTTGGATATTGTTGACAGCGGTCTTGGACACACGCATTCACACAATACTTTACGTACAACAGGTACAAGCCTAAAGTGTGATGGTAGAGGTGGCAGTGCCTGATAGAGAATTGTTCCTGGTCGATACATGACCTTTTCGGTTAGGGTTAGGATTAGGTTAGGTTTACTGTTAGGGTTAGATTGCAGAGGTGGCAGTGTCTGATCATGGATAGGGAATTTTTCCTGGTCGATACATGACCTCTTGGGTTAGGGTTAGGGTTAGGTTAGGTTTACTGTTAGGGTTAGATTGCAGAGGGTGGCAGTATCTGATAGGGAATTGTTCCTGGTCGATACATGACCTCTTGTGACACTTGTTGACCAAAACCCACCACAGCCGCCGTGAGGAGCGTGAGGTATACAACAATATGAAACAATATGACAACCCACAAATGTGTACGTAAATGAATTAAGTGTGAAACCAACAACTGGAATACAATCAACAATTGTATTACAAAATTAACGACATTACAATGGCAGCATAAAACGCGAGAGCAGTGGAATAATAAACACCCCGCAGCAACAGTGGTCATGTTTCCGAGATAAGCCTTGGCTGAACACAAGGGTGAGAAGGGATCTTCATGTCATGTAATGTAACTGGTCTTAATGTAATGTGAGATGAAATGTGAGATAAATGTGAGATGAGATAGGCATATCCCCGCTTCACTTATATAGTCTAATTAGCTTCCAGCACTTTCTACATAGTGCTGGACCTGTGTCACAAAAACATCACAGAAAAGTCCACATGCTTCTAAAAAAATTAAAAAAATTATTGGATTTAAAAAAATTAAACTTATAAAAACAATTATATTAAAAAGACCTGAGCATTCTTTCTTTTGCCCCTCAGTTTATGCGAATTATCTTCAATAAAACAGTTTCAATGAATACTTGCAGTACATCAATATAGCAACGTCAATTAGTGTTGTCTTCATCTGGTGCCGTGGTGGGAGTCTCCTGCTGCCCTACAAATCAACAAGCACTTGCAGCCCCTGACTGGGGTTTACCAGGGCGGGTGAGTGAACTATCACTTACAACGGGTAACTGGACGTGGCATGCACACCCAATTAATGACGAGGTGGTGTCTCCCCCGCCTCACTGGATCACTGACTGTTTGTATGCATCTGTTATTCCATCTTTGATTATTCCTTTTTTTTAAGGAAAGGAAGTTCGGGGATCACATTGATCGGTGAGGCAGGGAACGAATGATTACCCCACGCTTCTCCCCTCAAGATAGTGTTTACTTTAGTAAATGATAGATAACACCATCGGCAAGTATCTAAAGTCATGTAATTCCACCTTGAGAAGCCCCATGCCTGGTGTAGATGTTAGTGTGTGTGTCACGTATAGTGTTAAGTAAATGTAGCAGTGTGTATATGGTATGGAGATATGTGATGTTATGTAGGTGGATGTCACATGTATGGTGATATGTGATGTTATGTAGGTGGATGTCACATGCATGGTGATATGTGATGTTATGTAGGTGGATGTCACATGTATGGTGATATGTGATGTTATGTAGGTGTATGTCACATGTATGGTGATATGTGATGTTATGTAGGTGTATGTCACATGTATGGTGATATGTGATGTTATGTAGGTGGATGTCACATGTATGGTGATATGTGATGTTTTGTAGATGTATGTCACATGTATGGTGATATGTGATGTTATGTAGGTGTATGTCACATGTATGGTGATATGTGATGTTATGAAGGTGTATGTCACATGTATGGTGATATGTGATGTTATGTAGGTGGATGTCACATGTATGGTGATATGTGATGTTATGTAGATGTGTGTCACATGTATGGTGATATGTGATGTTATGTAGGTGTATGTCACAAGTATGGAGATATGTGATGTTATGTAGGTGGATGTCACATGTGCGGTGATATGAAGTATTATGTAAATGTATGTCACATGTGTGGTGATTTTAAATATTATGTTGGTGTATGTCACATGTGTGATTATATCAAGTATTATGTAAATGTATGCCACATGTATGGTGATATGTTGTGTTGTGTACCTAGTACATAATGTATATCACACATATAGTCGGGGGTACGGGTGGCCCAGTCGTCTAAGGCGCCGCAATTCGCTGTGTACAGTTGCGTCCCTTGGGCACACCCGAAACCTATGATTGTTGGTTCGAATCCCAGTTTGCCCCAAATATGTTTCTAGGTTTGTCAGCACCAAGCCCGTGCTCGTTGGTTTCACGAAAGTGGTAAACGTCTGTGATCACTTCGAGCTTTCCTCCCACATTAAGCTGACACGCCGTGATATAACTGGAGTACTGTTGGCGTTAAACCAAACTCACTCACTCACCCCAATGTAGTTAGTTATTACTAGCAGCTACCCTGCTCTCAAGGCCCACCCCTTCATTACTGATGGAATCTCCTGTTGTTGGAGATCAGATAATCATGCTCATGTACAAGTATCCGCGGAATTCCAACCTTTAACACGTACATCCCAGCGATGAGCCCTGCGTCATGAGCCTCCCGTCACCAGCCCCCCGTCACCAGCCTCCCGTCACCAGCCTCCCGTCACCAGCCCCCACCACCAGCCTCCCGTCACCAGCCACCCGTCACCAGCCCCCCGTCACCAGCCCCCCGTCACCAGCCCCCGTCACAAGCCTCCCGTCACCAGCCTCCGTCACAAGCCTCCCGTCACCAGCCTCCGTCACAAGCCCCCCGTCACCAGCCCCCCGTCACCAGCCCCCCGTCACCAGCCCCCCGTCACCAGCCTCCCGTCACCAGCCCCCACCACCAGCCTCCCGTCACCAGCCCCCGTCACAAGCCTCCTGCCACAAGCCTCCCGTCACCAGCCTCCCAATACCAGCCTCCCGACACCAGCCTCCCGTCACCACCCTCCCACCACCAGACTCCCGACACCAGCCCCCGTCACCAGCCTCCCGTCACCAGCCTCCCGACACCAGCCCCCGTCACCAGCCTCCCGTCACCAGCCTTCCTTCACCAGCCCTCCGTCACCAGCCTCCCACTACCAGCCTCCCGACACCAGCCCCCGTTACCAACCTCCCGTCACAGCCTCCCTTCATCAGCCCTGCGTCACCAGCCCTCCGTCACCAGCCTCCCGTCACCAGCCTCCCGACACCAGCCCCCGTCACCAGCCTCCCGTCACCAGCCTTCCTTCACCAGCCCTCCGTCACCAGCCTCCCACTACCAGCCTCCCGACACCAGCCCCCGTTACCAACCTCCCGTCACAGCCTCCCTTCATCAGCCCTGCGTCACCAGCCCTCCGTCACCAGCCTCCCGTCACCAGCCTCCCGACACCAGCCCCCGTCACCAGCCTCCCGTCACCAGCCTTCCTTCACCAGCCCTCCGTCACCAGCCTCCCACTACCAGCCTCCCGACACCAGCCCCCGTTACCAACCTCCCGTCACAGCCTCCCTTCATCAGCCCTGCGTCACCAGCCTCCAGTCACCAGCCTCCCTTCACCAGCCCTGCGTCACCAGCCTCCCGTCACCAGCCTCCCGTCACAGCCTCCCTTCATCAGCCCCTAGTCACCAGCCTCCCGTCACCAGCCTCCCTTCACCAGCCTCCTGTCGTCAGCCTCCCGTCGCCAGCCACCCGTCAATAGCCTCCCGTCACCAGCCACCGTCGCCAGCCTTCCGTCACTAGCCTCCCGTCACCAGCCTCCCTTCACCAGCCCTGCGTCACCAGCCTCCCGTCACTGGCCTCCCGTCACCAGCCCCCGTCAACAGCCTCCCGTCAACAGCCTCCCGTCACCAGCCTGAAATGATGCTGGATCAGCCGTTTCACCTTGCGATTATTGAATCTGATTTCCTGCTACAGGTATGTTTGTCAAAACTGACTTTTGTAAAGTAGATAGAGTGTGGGAAGCCTGTAGATGAGACCGCCTGGTTGATGTAATGTCTTCATAAACGTCTGTTTACACTTCTAGGAAGCCATCATTTCGTTATACCTAAACAAACATCTACTCCACGCAGTAATCTTCCGTCGACACAACAAACTCATCTTAACACTGTTTAACACTAGACGGCCTTATAATTTAGTTTCACGAGTCTAGAAGTCAACAGCCTTTTTTCGCTAATAAGGGTATTTATATAGTTTTGTTCCCCAAAAAACAATTGCGTCGCTTTTTAGTGATCTGAAGATTAAATTCCCAATAGCGTTAAAACAGATGGCGATTTGTTATCTCGTGTTAAGAGATTTTGCATGGATTTCAGAACCAGGCCCCAAGCTGAAGCACGTTGATGACGTCATAAACTGTCATGAGCAGAGATATCGGAAGTGACTTGACAGCTTTGTGTATTCCGGTCTATTTTGGACGCATGCCGCGTGTATGTGTGGTGATGTATCGTTGTACATGATGATAGCGCTGCCTGGGAAAATGGCACCACGACGGAGACACTCGTAAATTGTACAGTCTGTGTTTAGGGGAACTATAGGCTCCAAAAACTGTTGATACCGAAAACTAAATATTCCAAACAGCTATGTGTTCTAAAGAATGTCCACTTTAGTTGCATAAACCTCAAACTGTTCACACCCTAAACTGTGCTTACTGAAAAAAACCTGCGCATGCCAGAAACCTTTAAACCTTAACCTTTACACGTGTTCACCACAAACTGTATAACATCGATGGTTTAAACCTTAAATGTTACACAACAAACTGTATTATAGACATAGTTTAAACCTTAAACGTTACACATGGACATAACCAACTGTATTATACAGATGGTTTAAGCCTTAAACTGTACACGTGTACACCACTAACTATTTTACATAGATGGTTTAAACCAAAAACTGTAAACGTCTACACCACTTACTATATTACATAGATGGTTTAAACCATAAACGTTACACAACAAACTAGTTTTATATAGATGTTTAAACCTAAAACTGTAAACGTGTTCACCACTAACTATATTACATAGATGGTTTAACCCATAAACGTTACACAACAAACTAGTTTTATACAGATGTTTTAACCTTAAACTGTACACGTGTACATCACTAACTATATTGCACAAATGGTTTAATCCATAAACTGTAAACGTCTACACCACTAACTATATTACATAGATGGTTTAAACCATAAACGTTACACAACAAACTGTATTATATAGATTTTTAAACCTTAAACTGTACACGTGTACAACACAAACTGTATTACATAGATGGTTTAAACCATAAACGTTACACAACAAACTGTATTATATAGATTTTTAAACCTTAAACTGTACACGTGTACACCACTAACTATATTACATAGATGGTTTAAACCATAAACGTTACACAACAAACTGTATTGTATAGATGGTTTAAACCTTAAACTCTACACGTGTACTTTACAAACTATATTATATAGATGGTTTAAACCTTAAACTGGACAGGTGTACACCACAAACTGTATTGTATAGATGGTTTAAACCTTAAACTTTACACGTGTACTTTACAAACTGTATTATGTAGACGTTTAAACCTTAAACTGGACAGGTGTACACCTTAAATTGTGTATTACTGTGAGCCGTGAACTCATCTACTCACTCCATCATTGTGATGGACGCATGGTCAGTCTCGTCAAAGTGAAAAACTCCTGGGTAAGTTTCCTTATCGTGATGGTGAAATCCGTCATATTGATGGACGCCGGGATGAGATCCGTCATAGGGAAAATTGGACACTGACATTGTTTATGGAGACGCCAAGATTGTGCAGAATAGGACACTGACGTCGTTTGTGGTGACTCCAAGGTTGGGAGAACTGGATGCTTACGTTGTTGATGGAGAAGCCAAGGTTGGGAGAACTGGATAGTGATGTTGTTTATGTAGAAGCCATGGTTGGGAGAATTGGATAGTGGCGTTGTTGATGGAGAAGCCGAGGTTGGGTGAATTGGATGCTGACGTTGTTGATGTAGAAGCCGAGGTTGGGTGAATTGGATGCTGACGTTGTTGATGTAGAAGCCAAGGTTGGGAGAATTGGTTACTGACGTTGTTGATGGAGACGCCAAGGTTGGGAGAATGTGTTACTGACGTTGTTGATGGAGACGCCAAGGTTGGGAGAACTGGATACTGACGTTGTTGATGGAGAAGCCAGGGTTGGGATAATAGGATACTGACGTTGTTGATGGAGACGCCAAGGTTGGGAGAACTGGATAGTGACGTTGTTGATGGAGAAGCCCAGGTTGGGAGAATAGGATACTGACGTTGTTGATAGAGTAGCTAAGGTTGGGAGAACTGGATACTGACGTTGTTTACGGAGAAGCCACGGTTGGTAGAACTGGATAGTGATGTTGTTTATGTAGAAGCCAAGGTTGGGTGAATTGGATGCTGACGTTGTTGATGTAGAAGCCGAGGTTGGGAGAACTGGATACTGATGTTGTTGATGGAGAAGCCAAGGTTGGGATAATAGGATACTGATACTGTCACTCGTGCTCTAGGTAACTGCTGTGTTGTCACATGTCACTCGTGCTCTAGGTAACTGTTGTGTTGTCACGTGTCACTCGTGCTCTAGGTAACTGCTGTGTTGTCACGTGTCACTCGTGCTCTAGGTTGCTGTTGTGTTGTCACATGTCACTCGTGCTCTAGGTAAATGCTGTGTTGTCACATGTCACTCGTGCTCTAGGTAACTGCTGTGTTGTCACATGTCACTCGTGCTCTAGGTTGCTGTTGTGTTGTCACATGTCACTCGTGCTCTAGGTAACTGCTGTGTTGTCACGTGTCACTCGTGCTCTAGGTAACTGCTGTGTTGACACGTGTCACTCGTGCTCTAGGTAACTGCTGTGTTGTCACGTGTCACTCGTGCCCTAGGTAACTGCTGTGTTGTCACATGTCACTCGTGCTCTAGGTAACTGCTGTGCTGTCACATGTCACTCGTGCTCTAGGTAACTGCTGTGTTGTCACGTGTCACTCGTGCTCTAGGTTGCTGTTGTGTTGTCACGTGTCACTGATGCTCTAGGTTACTGTTGTGTTGTCACATGTCACTCGTGCTCTAGGTAACTGCTGTGTTGTCACATGTCACTCGTGCTCTAGGTAACTGCTGTGTTGTCACATGTCACTCGTGCTCTAGGTAACTGTTGTGTTGTCACATGTCACTCGTGCTCTAGGTAACTGCTGTGTTGGCACATGTCACTCGTGGTCTAGGTAACTGCTGTGTTGTCACATGTCACTCGTGCTCTAGGTAACTGCTCTGTTGACACGTGTCACTCGTGCTATAGGTAACTGCTGTGTTGTCACGTGTCACTCGTGGTCTAGGTAACTGTTGTGTTGTCACATGTCACTCGTGCTCTAGGTAACTGCTGTGTTGTCACGTGTCACTCGTGCTCTAGGTAACTGCTGTGTTGACACGTGTCACTCGTGCTCTAGGTAACTGCTGTGTTGTCACATGTCACTCGTGCTCTAGGTAACTGCTGTGTTGTCACATGTCACTCGTGCTCTAGGTAACTGTTGTGTTGTCACATGTCACTCGTGCTCTAGGTAACTGCTGTGTTGTCACATGTCACTCGTGCTCTAGGTAACTGCTGTGTTGTCACATGTCACTCGTGCTCTAGGTAACTGTTGTGTTGTCACATGTCACTCGTGCTCTAGGTAACTGCTGTGTTGGCACATGTCACTCGTGCTCTAGGTAACTGCTATGTTGTCACGTGTCACTCGTGCTATAGGTAACTGCTGTGTTGACACGTGTCACTCGTGCTATAGGTAACTGCTGTGTTGTCACATGTCACTCGTGCTCTAGGTAACTGCTGTGTTGACACATGTCACTCGTGCTATAGGTAACTGCTGTGTTGTCACGTGTCACTCGTGGTCTAGGTAACTGTTGTGTTGTCACATGTCACTCGTGCTCTAGGTAACTGCTTTGTTGACACGTGTCACTCGTCCTATAGGTAACTGCTATGTTGTCACGTGTCACTCGTGGTCTAGGTAACTGCTGTGTTGTCACGTGTCACTCGTGCTCTAGGTAACTGCTGTGTTGTCACATGTCACTCGTGCTCTAGGTAACTGCTGTGTTGTCACATGTCACTCGTGCTATAGGTAACTGCTGTGTTGTCACATGTCACTCGTGCTATAGGTAACTGTTTTGTTGACACGTGTCACTCGTGCTATAGGTAACTGCTGTGTTGACACGTGTCACTCGTGCTCTAGGTAACTGCTGTGTTGACACGTGTCACTCGTGCTCTAGGTAACTGCTGTGTTGACACGTGTCACTCGTGCTCTAGGTAACTGCTGTGTTGACACGTGTCAGTGGAATACCTGACAAGAGTTGATTCACGCAGACAACGTCTGTCTTAACACAAGCCTTGGAAGGCTGACACAGGCAGGGTTACAATGTTACAGTGTTGTAAGAGGTGAGTCCCGGGTGCCGCACTTATAGAAATATCTGCTCCACTTCTCTGACCGAGAAAATATTTGTGTATCTGTTGTAGAACAAGAGCGTTTATTTGAATCGCACCTGCACTACCACGATGCTAGCACTCCTCCGGTAATCCGACATGGAACAGCCATCCGACACGTGGCGAAATGCATTCATCTTCCCACCCCAGCTTAAGGTCAGGCTTGGAAGTGCAATCGTATAAAAAGATCGTATAACGCTTCGTTGGAAGCGCTGTTTGAAGTTCTATTATATACGGTGTTTCTTTCATATACGTTTCAACGAAACCATCA